TATCTATTTATCTACCTATATATACATATCTATCTGTATATATCTATCTGTATATATCTATATGTAGCAAGTGGTTGAAACGGAGCATGGCTGGAAAGAACCTGCTGGGAAATGAGCTGAGCTTTGGGACATGCTGGAAAATCATTCGTACTACTCCCCCGAAAGCCGTGCCGGGCCGGTTTGGTTTTAGGTTGCTGGTCGTGTGAGATTGAAATTATGTCGGGCTTGGATTGAAGGAGGTCCGTGGAATGCCCTTAACAGTGGCTACAAAAGGTTCGACCTTTTTGCTGGGAAGAGCAAGCCAGTTAAACATGAAACACATGCCCCGCACATTTGGGATGTTTCCCACGTTAGGTAGCTTCAGAGCCATTTCTATGAAGTGCAAACCCCACGCATGAACGACATGTTGCGGCCTTTGCATTTGCGACCTCACGGTCCACAAATTTGAGAGAGCCAGACATTTCATGGGTCCAATGCTTAGGGCTGATTTCTTTCATGTGGCGGGCGAGCCAATTTTTCGCTCTCGATTCCGTCGAAACCTGAAGTGGGGTTCCAGTACCTTGCACCTGGCGGAGCCCCAGACCTCGCACCAGTTGATTTTTAAGATGGTGGGGCCCTTTGGTTTTCTTTTGGTTCCCCCTTTCTACCCACACCGTGGCAGGTGTCCTTTTTAGGTTAGCGTGGCCAAAAAAAGGAAGGCGCTGGTTTAGATGGGGTTTATGCCCCATTTGCTAGGGCCATCGTATTTTGACAAAAGGACACCTATGCCCACGCCCAAAAAAATTACCCTCAGAAAAGCCGCCCGCCGATTTATGTTTTTCCCTTGCGCGCCCTCCTGGCAAGGTGGCGGTCCGAGCCTCCGTGACCAACCTCCGCAGGGAGTTCAAGATTGCCGCTCAGCGAAAAGAAAAGACCCACCACTACTCCCAAAAAGGCGTATGAGTAAATGGAGGACTTGGGCGTGTGCCCTTCTGATGGCACCCTTTTTGGGGGCGACTAAAGGGACACGAACAGGAAAACCGTCATGTTGGGGGTCCACTATGTTGTTTTTGCTTTTTCATTTTCCCATGAGAGGAATCACTGCCATCAAAAAAGGTGGTGCCCGTTCTTTTGCAGGGCCAGTGGGGGTCTGGGGAAAGGTCTGGGTGTTGACAACTGGACAACCTTGCTTCCAAAGGTTGCCAACCCCCCCGCCCAAGCAAAAAATACAATCTGCATTTGTTTGAGGAGTCCCGCTTGAACAAATGAACGGTTCACTTTGGGCTCCCAGTTGACGAACCTGAGGTCCATTCAGGCATCCTTTTGTTGATGGACACAATATGTTTGTTTCTTTTGGAATGGCCTTTTCAACCATTCCAAAAGGGGTACTAACTCAAGCAAGGACGGCCCCCAAATGGTGTGTTTTCTCGAGGCTCGGAGCCCTCTGTTGTTTGCTTTAGGATCCTCAAAAGGACACCTTCTCTTGTTCCTTCCTTTCTTTTGAGGGGGGTGAGGGGAGGGGCGTAGATTTTTTTCCACACCCACATTTGTCCATCCGCCGGATCTCCCCCACTTCGGCGCGCCTTGTCCCCGGTCATATCATGCCGTTGGCGTCCTTGAGGTGGCGGTGGCCGTGGAGAGCCGCGACGGGCTGGAGCGCGGGCTTTGGGATCGGAGGGGAGGGTTGAGGCGAAGATCCCGGAAGCATGGGTTGCCTTTTTGGGATGAAGCCTTGGCTTTCCAGATACTGAGACCCTGTTCAAAGGCAAACCATGGGCAAACCCTGTGAGAATTCTGAATGGCTTGAGGTGAGGTTTCGGGGAGGTGTTCAAGGGGGAAGAACTGGGTGCCATTGCGAAGGGCGGGGCTGGGGGGGGGGGGCTTTAGGAGTTCAAAAAATCGAGACAGCTCGTGCGGCCCAAAAAGTGCAGAAGTCGTAGCTTTGTTTCACCGAGATAGCTGCGTGAGTAGCAAGATGTTCAAGTAAAGCAGATCTGTTCTGACCAAACGCGCATTTGCCAGCGAGCTCTCGAGGGAAGCTGCAACCGGAGATTTGCTAGAAAAATAGATGGCCCTGGTTTACCTGGTGGCTTATTCATCTACCAGGGCCGTCTATTTCCCCTAAAAGGATCACAATCATGCCTTTCACGTGACGCGCGTGAACTGACTTTGGTCAAGTGGGCTCCGTCCATGTTTGGCGCATGCAACACAAGAGCAATATGGGTGTGTCTGTTTCAGGGGCCCCCCTAAGAAAAAATGCCGTTTGCTCCTTTTGGTTTCCTTTAAAACCCAACCAAAAGGAGAGAGGGAGAGAGGTAGAGGAACCGCAGTTGCATCCCTCTCAATCCTGGGAAGGCTTTCCCCAAACATCCAAGACGTGGGTGTGCTTTCGAATTGGTGGTTTGGAGCCCGGTTGTTTGGTTGTGAAATGAAGGGGTGTCCCATGTTCTAAAGCCAGGGACCCGTTCAAAGCCCAAACCAGCAATCCAAACCACCAAAGGGTTGCCCGCCAGTCTGCAAATGAAAAGGAATCCAAGGCTCTATTTTGAGACACCCCCTGAAGGGTGCTCTTGTCTGCGTATGGCCGCGGGCAAGTTCCGGTGGGCAGAGGCTCGGGAAAAAGAGCCTGTCCGCGACAGGGTGTCTCAATTGTCTCGCATCTGGTGTTACAGCTCAATGGTTGGTGGATACTCGGAGTATCTCGGAGAAATAAACAAACACATGGTTACGTCGCAAACTTAGGATGACCCCAAACATGGCAACCTCGGAAAACCGTGAACAATTTTTAGTTTGGTTTTCCTAGCGGCTAACAAGCAAATGGCACCCTGCAAACAAATTGACCCAAGGGGTTGACCATCCTTCTGGGCGAATTACAACAACCTCACACGACCGAATTCACCCCAAAAGCTGGTTTATGTGGTTGGAACAGCTCCCCAACCCCCGCAAGTTTCAGGTTGGTGAAATATACAAAAACAACAACACCTTATTTCGGGTTGGTGAACACTATATATATATATAGATTAAAACAAAGATCCTTCCGCGTTTTCGGGTGTTTCAACCCGCCTCCATGCATCCCAGGTGTGGCCTGGACGTGCCGCTGCAGACCGGCGGCTCCGTCCTGCCCGGCCGCCCGGGCAACGAGCGCGGTGCGGTGACAAGTCAGAAGCGAAACCAATACCGACGGAAGCAGCGAATATGCAAACAGCAACAACACAACAGGACTGGATCTCCGAAGTCTTGTTTTTTTGGTTTGAAGGGCGGAGTAAATGTGGACCTAGATCCAAACAGCACAAATTCCCATGAGGCAATTCGGCTTAGGTCCCACATCCCCATTCCAATGATTTAGGCCCCATTGGCCCGGCTGCAGCTTGGGGTGACGTTAAGAATGGCAAGGTCGTCAGTACACCAAATACTCTCCTGGTCAACCGGGTTCCTTTTTTTTCCCTTGTGGGCAGTTCAAACATAAAACCCTGACGGCCAGTTGCGATCGAGTTTCCCTTGGGGGGATGTTTTAAGGGAACCCCTGATTCACATGGAAGAGGGAGGAGATTCTACAAGCAGAAGGTGACCACAGATGATAGTCAGTATTCATCACTCGGTTGTTCAAAGCCGACCTTTTGACCCTTTAGGTTCCCCATTCTGGTCCATTTTTAGTTCTGGTACCAAAACCTTTTAGTTCCAGGTGTTTTGGGCAACTGAGAGCATCATATGCCAAATGGGATGACACAGGGCACGCAAACCCTGGATATGATAGATTTGCGGGCTCACCAGATTCTGATGTCAATGGGATGCAATGTTCATGGATTTCTTCCATTGGACATGAAAAAAACCGGGGGTTGGTGTCCTTTCGCCAACAGAAAGTGGCCATGTGCAATGTCCACGAATTTTAGGTCATGCTTTTGGGGCGTGTCATTGAACCCGTCTCATCTTGAAGGGTCCATTGGGACCTCGTTGTGCCCTTTAAACGGCCCCTGAAAGAAACAGAGAAAGGCAGAACTTGACTGCCATTGGGTTGGATCTTTAGACTCTAACTTTTTGGGACATCAAGAGGCTTTCCACTAAAACCCCCAAAGGTTAAAAACTTTTTGCAGGGGGGGTTAACAGCGACCAAGAGAAAGACAGGCAGCAAACTATAGATAAGCAAAGCAAGCACGACTTTGCCGGACATTTCCTGGCGCTTGGGGCGGGAAGAAACCAAGTACGCGTCTGTGACGATTGGCCGCTGGTGATCATCTCGCTGGGATCCTTTTGGAGGAGGAATGGCTTGGCGAAACTATCGCGAAACAGACCTCCAGTTGGTTTGGGGCTCCCTTTGTTAAAACGGTTTTGGGGTGCAGAGGTGTCCTTCTTAGGTTAGTTTGGTTAATAGACGGTGCTGGTTTGGATAAAGTGTTATTCGCCTCAAGACTCCGGGACCCGAGATTTATCGCCAAAGGAAACAATGTCCTGCTGTTCTCCAGGGTTTGCTTAAAATCCGAGCGTGGCAGAGGCTCTAACGGTTTCTCAGTTGATTTCCTTGTTCATTGGATTTCTCACGTGCTGTGATTCATGACCGGGTCAGTCTTTACTCATAATTTCGTCCTGAATCAGTGGTTTAGTCATGAATCAGCCGCGGTGCGTCTACATCTAGTTCTGTGAGTGTGGTTTTTTCCCGCGGTGCTTCTATTTCCAGTTCTGTTGGTTGTGTTATTCAAGTTGATCTTGATCTCGTCTTCTTTTTTTCGGTTTGCCGCCTTCGGAAAAGGACAAAACAAAGGGGGAAAAACAAATAAAAAGATTAAACAACAAAAAAAACAGAAAAACAAAAACACAAACAAACAAAAACCGGAAAAAAGAAAACGCAAGAACAGCGAGCCTTCGGGTCCTATTTCGTTAGGTTCGGCTTCGAGAACGGCGTGGAGAACTTCGAAAGCCGGCGCCTCACCGCGGGAGCCTGCGGGCGACTCACCGCGTGCGGCGGGAGACCAACGGGGAGGCCTAGAAAATTTGAAAGGGCTCCTTACAAGAAATCTCCATTTTGCCCATCCATTTGACACATGTGGCTTTTTCAACACCAAAATAAAAGGAAGCCGCCATTTACAAGTTGCAATGCTCAGGTGTATAATGCATCCGGCTCCCTGTTTGAGGGGTCTTCTAAGAGAAGACACACCAATCAACTTCGTCGCGAAAAAAAGTTGGGTCCCCGAGCCGGCTGCGGCTTTTTAATTCGTGGAAAGCCCGCGAATTCGAGACTCGACCAGCCGCAAAGCGCGCCAAGCAAAAAACGCACTACCTGGGTGTCCTGTTCGGCACGTTTTTGAGGTAGTGGGAGTAGTTTTTGAGGGTTTTTGAGGCAAGTTTTTGAGTTTTTGGGTTTCCTGTTCAGCAATGAATTGAAGTAGTCGTGGGAGTGACCCATATTGGTAGGCACGACCATGTTTCGAGTTTGATTTGCCAATACCTGCTTGAGGGTCCGGGTTGTTTCCGTATGTTTCCGTTTCGGGCAAACCCTCGTTTCAGAATGCTCACGTCATGCAATCCCTAAGGAGAGGTAGGTACAAGGGGGTGGTTTGCTTAGGGAGCTCTAGGGAGCCTTAAGGGAACCCTCTTGGAGCACCCGCCCAGGATTCCCTCATGTCAGTCAGAATTCACCCAACTGGCCAGCTTTAAAGGGCCTCTTTTGTGCCGCAAGGGTTGGTCCATTCGCTCCTTTGTGGCCAGAGCGATGATGGTTGACTGTAGCCATGAGTGCAGTCTGTCATTTGCATCTATGCAAACCTCGCAATGTCAACCATAGCCTCGATACTCAGTAGCCGAAGACATGAGGTATGAAGAGTTGAAGGAGGCGGATGGTTTGCCGTGCAGCGCCCACCACTTTGCCTCAAGTTCCAGAGGGCTTTCTCAACCTGTCAATCTCCATGTCCGACCGCGGGACGAGTCCCCAACTGTTACGATGATGTCATGTGGTGCCACATGGGTGTGGCTCAAAATTAAACAGGGGGGGTTACGCAGGTTTTGGCCCATGTTTCCACTTACCAGGGCAAGCCATTTTGGAATTCCGGTTTTTTGGTTGCCGCAGCCACCATGGTGAAATTGACGCCCTCCGCTTACTTGCACTCTGCATACGGAAAACCCAAACAGCCTTGAGAGAAAGCCTCAGGAAACCCGAACAGCCAGAGCAAGCAACACAAAGAAATGTCATCAACCAGAGCTGCCCTAAACGTGTGCTTGGAACCGTTGAACTTTGGGTTTCCTCGGTTTCTGGGTGTTTTTTATCCCAGGGATGGTTGCTTGCTTTGTTTGGGGGGCCCTCGAGGTGCTGTTGGGATTGTTGGATTTCCTCATGATTTTGTTTTTTGCTTCTTCCATCCCAGGCATGCTTGCTGGCATTGTTTTGCCGGATTTCCTCTCGATTTTTTTCCATCCTAGCCACGGTTTGTTGTTTTGGAATCACATTTTTGACATTCTTCAAGGATACACAAAGCACGCAGTGCTCACAGCGCTGCTTCCAGAGGAAACACCACCAGAGACCAGGGACGAACCTCTCGTTTTGGAGTTGCTTCCCTGTATGGGACAGGCTCTTGGAAACGGAGGTTTGCCACATGTTAATCAGTCAGGGTTGTGGTTGATCACTCGGGGTTTATCCAACTGTGATACTTTTGGGAATCCCCTGTTTAAAAGGGGGTGGTAGGCTTTGGGAGACCCTTTTGTTGTATCATAGAAGTGGCCATTTCCCACAGCCCTGTTAATGTGTGATTCGCATGCTGATGATGTATCGTCATTATGATCCTGATCATCACAATGATCATGTAGTATCGTCATGTTTGGAATGGTTAAGCATAAATGGTGCTGATGAGCAACATAAGCTCAGGTGATATCCCCAACAGCACGCGGGTCGCACCACCCCGCAGCCCTCACAGAACCTCGTGGAACCTTCGTGGAACCCTGGTGGAACCCTCGTGGAACCTTACCTCAGGGCCCGGCCCACCCCGGAGCCTATCTGATCTGGGCTGAGACCCCAAAGATGTCAGCTGTTCGGGAATTACTCTGATGAACATGCTCATGATTATATTGATTTGCTCCCAACACAGTGGCAAACATTGCATTTGGAAAGGATGTAAGAAAAACAATCAGCGACTTTTCTTAGGCGTGGTTGGTCGCATGTCCAGCGGCCGTTCATACCGCGAGTGTTGCCAACGCCCAATTCGTAATCCCTATTGGACAACCACTGCAAAGGATGGCCTTTGAACAGCCCTGCAAGGGGATTTGGACAGGCCTGCCATTGGGCTGCAGGTTAGGCTGGGCTGTTGGGCTGTTGGGCTGTTGTGCTATTGGGCTGTTGAGCTAGCTGTTCTATTGCATCCCCTTTTGGCTGGTAAGGAACGCTGGGGGAAATCCAGCATTTTGTAGGGGGGGTTGTCGCCTTTTTGGAATCCAACCGCATTGCGTGGGGGGCCCATTTGCTGGTTGTGATACCAACCGCACGGCGCTTCTGGCCGAGATTTGCGCGGACTGCTGGGGCTTACGGAGGAGGACGATGCGGTGTGCCCGGCCTGATCCTTGAAGCAGCAGGTGACCACTTTGGTGTGACAGAATCACCCCCCGCTAAAACTACAAAAGGTTAGACTTTTTGCTCAGGGGAAGAGCAACCCCAGAAAGGACATTTCTCTAGAACCTCCAGAGTCTCAAACAATGCGATGGCTTTAACATTCACAATTTTTGCCCTTTTTCAATTTGGTTTTCTTTCGGATGATTTGAGGGGAGTGATTCCCTTGAAGCTGACGGATGTCCCGCCCTTTAAACTCCAACAACAAAAGGGTGCCGATTCGTTTTCCCATGGAAATCCACTGGGCCTCTTTTCGTGGGGAAAGTGAGAAGCTGGGACTTGCTTCCCTTTTCACCCACTTGCCACTCGACGGGGTTTCCAATGGACCCTTGTTTGAGGCTGGGGTGGCCCTTCCGGGCCCTAAATCAAAGCGAATCGATTTGTTGTTCGATTTGGCACGATGTCAACCCCTTGCTCGAAGAAGGAAGCATAGAGAACCCCTGTGTCTTGATGTGTCTTCAACTGTTCCTCTGGGTTTACCTGAGTCAGTCAGTGGCTTTGGGGGCAATACTCCCGCTCATAGGTGTCGGTTTGCTTAAAAAATAGAGGGCGATTCCTGGTTTGGATGGGGTTTATGCCATCCATTTAGCTGGGAAACCCAGTTATTTTTCCAAAAGGCCACCTATGCTCTCATTTTTTCCAAAAGGCCACCTATTTTTTCCAAAAAGGCCACCTCATTTTTTCCAAAGGCCGTTTTTTTGAAAATGGCTCTGGCTCAGCTTCGCGCTTCCGGCGCTTCGTCTCGCCATGGGCGCGGCCTGCAGCGTGGACGAGTGGGAGCGGGCGGACGCAACGCCGGAGGCGGCCACGGAGGCCACTTTCCTGGCAGCCCGTTTTTGGTGCCGGTGCTTCTCCCTTGAAAGTCTGGTTGAAACTTTGGTGGCAAAAGTTGTAGTTTTTGGAATCTGCCAGCCTGTAGTTTGGCAAACTTGCTTGGAGAGAGAGATTGCTGTGATCTCCCCATGGTCGTTGGGAAACATTTTACGTGTTTTTTCTTGTTGTGGTTTAGTGGTTGAAATCCAACCAGTTGACTGCTAAAATTACATTTGTTGCTCCCCTTCCAACGTCAACCAAGTCCCTTCCTGTGATACCATGGGCCATCCCTATACTTGAATGCCCTAAAGCAAGTTGTCCACAACCAATGGAAACCCATCCCCGACAAAGATTGCCACCAACCCTACATGGGGGAGGGAAGTGGCTGAACCAAGAATTCAGCCAACCTTTGGCAACTGTTTCAGTCTCGCGCTTCAAACAACACCATCTTGCTGTTTCTTGTTTCCAATTGAAATGCTCAGGTCTCAGGTAACCCTTACTTCTGGGGGTAACTTCCTCATTCTTTGCAGGGATCCTTCTTTCTAGAAAACCACCAAAAACCCTGCGGGAAATGGCGATCGGTTTTTGAAAAGAACGGTGGCTGAAAAGAATGGACAAGGAGTCAACCTCTAGTTTGGATTGGTTTGGAGATTTGACCCCCCTGGTTGTAGAGGGCACGTTTAAAAAGAAGAAGAAAAAAACACCTCCAGAGCTGCCGGGTTTTCCTCTCAAGGCGCGCGCAGCGAAGTGCGAGGAGCACTGTGGCCTGGAGCTCAGAGACGCGGCGGAGGCGAGGTGGAAACCTCTCCAGCCGAAAATGACACCCACGCCGTCGTCGTTTTTCTTCACCAAGACACTTTAGTTCAGCTTCTTCTTTTTTTTCCCCTGTTCTTTTTCTTCACCAAGTCACGGTGCGCCGTGGTTTTTTTTGTTTTCTTCACCAAGTCGCTGTAGTTCAAGGCTGTGATTGAAAAGGAATCCACTTCTGTGATACAACAGAAAGGGCTTCCCAGAAACTATTTTGTTCATAGAAAGGGGGATTCCCTTATATCACAGAAGTGGAGAGAAACCCCTTGATCCCACAACCCTGCTGTAGTTGGATTCAACCATTGCGCTCAAATGAATATTTTGTTGTTTCCCCACCAAGAGTCGTCCGTAAGCAAAACAGGGTTCACCGTTCTCAACCTCCAGGCCAACTTTCTCTGACACCGAAAAACTCGTTTCTCAAAGCGAGCTGGTCGTATTTGTTTTGGGATTTGACTTCCTGGACCAAATGGGGAAACAAGGGGTTTCTCTCCACTGTGATACAAGTGGGAATCCCCCTATGAACAAAGTCGTCCAAATGGGAGGCCTGGGAAAGGCTGGTTTCAGGCTCCCTCCCTCCCCTCCCCTCCAGGCCCGCAGGCCATAGGTGGGTGGTTCGCCCTGGTGAAGCAGATTTGGCTTCTGGAACTTGGTGTATCTTGAGGGCGCCCTGTGCTTGGGGCAGCATAAACAAATTACTCACAGGTGTGCTTTTTGGCTGTCTTGCTCGAAAAATAGATGGGTTTCCCTGGTTTACCTGGTGTGTTTCATCATCTACCAGGGAAACCCATCCATTTCCCCTAAAAGGACACCTATGTTACTCACGTCCTGAGTTCCGGTTCGGACTTTCACCACTTTTCGGGCTGGACCAGTGTTACTTCGCGGTAAATGAAGAGTTGGTTTCAGGCCACCGTAAGTCCTCAAACTGTCATGTAGCCAGGACCATGGCCAAAGCAAGGAGTTTCCACGCACGGTATGGAACGGGGTTTCGAAGGGCCAATCTGTTTCATAGAGTGCCCAAGCACACCCACAAAAGGTGAGTTAGGGCGTCCAGTGCAAAAAACATTGCCAGCATAGGTGTCCTTTTTGGTTGTTTTGCTAGAAAAATAGATGGGTTTCCCTGGTTTTCCTGGTGTGTTTAATCATCTACCAGGGGAACCCATCCATTTCCCCTAAAAGGACACCTATTGCCAGTCCCGCCAAACCGAGATCTATTTGTGTGTCTTGTCCTTGAACACCGCCATCAACATCCGTAAGGGGTCAAGTCCGTGGCTTTGCTAAGCCACCGAACAGGTTCCCTCAACAAACACTTGGTGGCTCCCAGCCATCCGGTTCAACTTAGCCTTTAGATCTCTTTAGGGTTTTTTTCGTGGTAGTTTCCGTATTTAACCCACTAAAAGTGAGAAACACTTTTCGCGGGGGATCCGAAAACGGGCAGCCCAAGTCCACCCCAAGCGCCGGCTCCGCACTGTGCCAGTCGCGACCAGAGCGGAAGAAGTGGCCTCCGAGGACCAACGTGACGGGGTTCCTCCACCACGTGGAGCGCGTGCAATTCGAGGGTATGTTGCCGGGTGCTAAATTGAACAACCACATGTGTTTGCTTCTCAACGGAAACCAAACACCAAGTCAAAAAAAACTGTTGCCTCTCAACAGGAAACCAAACACCAAACAAAAGAACACTTTTGCCTCTCAACCAAACAGGCCCCCCCAACTGTCACACCTCCCCAACTCTTCCAAGGTCACATGGCATTGTCCCCTTTCACCCTGCCAGGTTGTACAAGGGGGAGTTGACGTCGGTGCGCTTCTGACTCGCAGCCGGTTTTGGCAACCCCCCCCCCGACTGCTTTCCATGTCAAAGCCGAGTTGGTTGGGGGGGGGCTGCCATCCTTGGACAGGGGCCGTCTTGAGCAAAGGTTGTTGCAAGTGCCGTTGTTCTCAGCGTTTTTGGAGAGGAGGCAAAACAAAAAAAAGTCCCCAACTTGGTCTTTGCTGCGGTGTCCTGGGAACTCTTTCCTCGTTCCCGCAGGAATTTACAGTTATGTAGGTCGAGTTTGGCTCATTCTCCGGAGATCTGGGTGTCTCTCAAACTGGAGCCCCCAAAAAACTGGAGGTTTTCCTTTGGTTCCCTTCCAGCAACAAGCCAAAAGAGGCCCAAAACACGCGCAAAAAGCACGTCGAGACACTCCCAGGTAAAGCTCAGTTGTTCAAAGCCGACCTTTTGACCAATAGCAATCAAGAAAACCCGCGCAACAAGAATAAAAAGAGCATCGAGAGACACCCAAAAGAGCAAGGGTGCAGTCCCAGGCCGGAGAAAATGCCGGGGTCATCGGATGCGCCGGACTCGTTGGCCTAACTCGGAGGGCCAAAGGTTTTAGGCGATCCACATCAATCTGGGCGGTCCTTAGAATTGGGGATCCGATTCTCATATCAGGCTCGTCCCATTTCGCCCTGGTTTTTTCTTTAGACGGTGCCCTGTTTTTGGGGGATTTTCATATGAGGCTTTGGGGTTTATTTATATTTTGTTAATGTTGAAACGCATGTGGAAACATGAACTGTGTTGGCAATGCTTGACCACAATGGCGCATGCCATTTTGGCTCAAGCTTTGCCCTGGGTTCTCTGAACCCAACTTGTGTGAAAAAATTGAGGTGAAACACTTCCGAACTAACCCCGAACCAGCAATGGCCTCCTCGGCAACCTCGGCAACTTCCTTCGAGCTGATTGAGGACCAGACGCTCACTGCGGAGGAGGTGGAAATGGCCAGCCAGGCGGCCCAGGAAATCCGCACACGCGAGGCGGCAGTGGCGGCCGGCCTGGTGTTGGACGAGCCCGAGGCCCCCCCGTCGGCTTCGGCCACCGACGTGATGAACGACCTCTCCAGCGCACTGGAGCGTCTCCGTGTGGCTTTCTCCACACCGACTTCCGGCTTGGGTGCCCCTGGCCCCGCCGATGAGGAGGACCAGGACATGGACGACGCGGACGCCACGGAGAAGGCTACTCCACCAACGAAGAGGCTGAAGGGTTTCGTGGCGGCTTCCCAGAAGACCTCGGCTCCGGTGAACAAACCGGTGTGCCGATGGTCTCCCTGTTCCACAAGTTTGTCGGGAAGAACCTCACGGAGGACTTGGTGATTCGCATCCTGGAGGCCTATGTTCCGATGAAGATCCAGATCCGGCAGGAGGAGGTCTGGGCCTCACAGTTCCAGAGGAACAAGGCGTGCATTGGCACCCAGCGGATGCACAGACTCGATGCCGGCCACTCAGACTATAAATTCATGTGCAAGGCGTGCGGCACGGGGTGGCCGGAGGCAGCCACTCAATG